CTTGATGTTCACAGTCACTTCAGCCTACCAAAGATATCATGACTCCTGAAGAGTATCTATAATCTGCATACCAATCCCCATTGTCCCTGAGGTTCACCGAGCACCCGTTTCTAGGAATTACTTACACACGTTGAGCATTGGACCGAGGAAGGACAAGTTCCGACTTTCCACATCAGAGTGGTCGGATGAGGAGTGTTGGGAGACTCAAAAATGATGCCTCCCTTGAGGTGGGCTTACATTGGCTTGCAAATAATGTATAGATCATGTAGGCTTGAACACGAGCAGACCGCGCTTTGAGTTTGGGGCACGGCTCTGTGCACAACTTGACGGAGACCATGCGCAGTTTCAGTTGGCCTGTCCTGCAAGCCCCAAGTCAGCTCGCCCTGATGAATCTTGGAGGGATCCAGGAGCATTCGAGCTTCAGGGTAGTAGACCAGGAGGGGCAAGATGACGGGCAAAGTAGCTGTTGCTGTGGTGAGTGTTGTAGGAGGCGGAACACATGAGGTAGCATTGCCGCGAATGCACTCATTAGTGGCGCGTGGCGCACAGGATGCCTCATCCTTGGAGTATGCGTTCTACATCTTCCCTCTGGGCGACGGATACACAGTGTCGGAAGGCGCTTAGCAGACACATGTGTCATGTGAGTAGTCGGGGCTTGTAGTGAGATAAAATGAGATAAAGGCAGGTTTGGATGGAGAGGCATTAGGTGCCCCAGGCACTGCTTTCCACAGGGGTCAAAGCTACTGCATCAGGTCAGGGTGTGCCATCGAAGAGCGCGGGATATCACTGAAGCCGACTTGGCACCCCATGTAGGCCCTCTTGAAGGACGGTAGCTTCTGCAGGGCAACATACTCCTAAGTTCGGGGGATACCACTGCCGCAGTTCAGCTTGGATTGCTTCTTGTATGGTAGGCGTCCATGTTTCCAGCAGAACAGTGTGTTCACGCACAATATTCTCTTTATAGGGGAAGGCTGGTACGAGTCCTTCCCTGTAATATCCTGTAATCGTATGGTCCCGTGCTGGCGCTTGCTACCCCGACACCAGCACCCCCTGACCCGCAGATGCTCAGCTTTTGAATTATCTGCCATGCCTGTAAAACCTCGATGTACCTGTTAGTACCTGCACAACCTGAGCACTGCCCAATTTGGGCATGCACAGGCCAGGATGGAAGTGGCCTGCAGGCCACTCCCGCTTTCCAGACTCTTGCCTGTAACCGGCTTCTTGATAGAAGGGAATGAGAAGATGGGTTGTGACTTGCCCTTGCGAAAATAACTGACATCATTGTTGATCTGCTTTTCCCCCTGTTATTTTGGGATGACACGATTCTCATGAGCGTAGTGCAGCATCGTAAGCGGAATTAGAAGAGTTGCTTCTGCATTGTGAATGTTGATAATAAAGGTTGGATTTCCGCGGCTTGTCCAACTAGGTTATTTCATCATGTTGCCGGTCTTCCTGGGCTTGCGTTTCCGGAGTACCTGAGGACGCCAACCATCGTTTTCAATGATCCATCCAGCGCACAGCAGCTTGTCTGCAATTTGATCTTCGATCTTCGTGAAAGAGATTGACAGGAACAATTCACTAGTAGCTTCAATTTTCTTAGCCATTCCTCTATGTGCCCCTACACAATCCCTGTAGTTAAACATGCCCCAGCGATAAAGTAGGTTTTGGTTTCTTGTCCATTCTCCTATATATCCCGACACAATCCCAATACATCCCAGCTATGTAGAAGAAGTGGTTTGTATTCCCTTTTCCATTCTTCCATACATCCCTGTGATTTTTTAGGTGCTCACACCAACGGTTGTGAGTCGCCAGACTGAAGCCCTAAGCCGAAAGCCCTAATCGGTGAACCCTCAACTCTAAACCCTCAACCCTGAGTCTTATAGCCCTGACCCTTCACCCAAACTATAAGCCTTGAACTGGAGTTCCTGAGCCTGCAGTGAGCCAAGATGCGGTTTCTAAGTTCTCCCAATCGCCCAGCTGAGTCGCTGAATTGATATGTTACTGTAAGGCCCGAAGCGTCCATTTGCCCAATAATCGGGGGTTCTGGGTTTAGGTCATTTTGGTACTAGTAATTGTTGTACAGCTTTGGGATAAGTATATGGTTATGGGATACTTGGACCCTCAGGGTTATGGCAGTTTCATGAAAAATGAGCTGTCGACCGAGTCTCATACTTAGAGTTCTGTGCTGTACGTTGTTCACGGTTCGTTCATTTCCTTATGCCTTGGTTGCATATCCCTTGGTTTCATTCATACCCTACCCGTGTTTCAGCTATGAGTCCATCAGGGCGCTCCATAGCCCGTTGGTTAAGCATGTGTTACGGTGAGCATGGTCCAGCATGGCAGATGCGGTGGGTTGCTTTTAAGGAATTTGAATCAAGTTACTAGAGCAAGGAAACCCTATCATTACTAGACACCGTTATATACCCATGCTGTGATGATTTAATTTGAGTTGCTTCACAGCAACCCACAGCCATGCGGGCAACGAGCTGAGGCGCTGGTGTTCATCAAACTGACAGTCACCAGGAACAGCAACCCCCAGGAGGCAAACAGCAGGATGGTGCTGATGTTGTTGAGGATAATGAAGAGCATGAAAAATTAGCAAAGCTCGAAGTGACTCCAGAAGCAGCAGAAGAAGCCGTTGACCTCGCAATATGGTCGACATCATCGAATATCCCAGGATTCCCAAGGGTGCCCCTGCTTTGACAAATGCCCAGGTACTGGACCAAGCTGGGAGGATCGTTGGTGGGTGTTCCTTGGTCAATGTTGTGTGAAATATTGAAATATACAGTGTAAAGCCCACCACAGGATTGCTTGTTTGGGACTTAGGCTCTTTTAGGGGCGACTTAGGGTTAAGGGTTTATCCCCTCAAAAACTAACGACGTCCGCTATCAGGGTTACGATGGACCATTAAGGGTGGACGTTGGGTTGAGTATTCTCCCTAATACAGTCCTCAAAAGGAATCCATGTCCATTGGTTATCTGGGAAATATTGAGTGTAGCTCACACAGGCCCTGAGAAAGGGTCGCAGTCCTTGTAGCCTCAGCCCCTAAACCCTAAACCCCTAAACCCCCTTCCATGTCAGTTTGGGGGAGGGTAGTGGTGTGGACCATAATATAACTACCATCTTCTTCCACTCCAAGACCACGCTCTACCCTTCTTCAAGCTAACAACCCTAAAGTGGGGCCATCAATGTTGCAGTCGCCGTGTGAGACGCCTTTGTGGGATTGAATATGGGGGATGGTGAAATTATCTGATCGATTGCAAATGCCCATGGCTCGTCCTTCTGAATCCCTACATATGTAAACAGATTTTAGATTGCCCCCCTCAAGCCTATTTGAAAACCTTGTGCTTCACTGCGAGTCTTCAAGCTCCTGTACAGGGTTAGGTTTGAAAATGATGCATTACCCTTTATCTCCATACAATCCTTATAGAGCCATACAAGATTAAAGTTTTTATAGGGCCTGCAAACCTACTCTAGTATAGCAGTCTGAATAGAAATCCTCTAGGAAAAGCCGTGGATGCTATGTTTTCATTGCTTGGGCCCCTGAAGCCTAAACCGACAAACCTCTAGATCACGCTACCGTGCCGGCGTATACTTCGAACAGCATGAGGCCGCGAATGGCTCTCCAGCACTCCACGAACTCCACGAATGCCTGGGTCAAGAACACGCGAAGAGCACTCTCTGCAGTGCACGCCAAGATTTCTCGACGCGCACTCCAAAGAGCGAGACCTTTGCAAGAGCACTCGACAAGCCGTCCAAGAGAGTTCCAAAACCACTTTGGAGTACTCTTCAGTGCCCACCCCAAACCCACTCCAACCTAGTGGTTCTTAGTAGAGAATATGGGAAGATACTGCCTATATAATCCCTATATATTCCCTCATTCCTTACTAACACCCAAGTAAGCCAGAGAGAGCTCCAAAAGGGATGGAGGGATGTAGAACCACTCCTGAACCCACCCCAAGATCACTCGAAGTGCGAGGATGCCCCGCAATTTTGAGTCCAGGCATGACGCAATACTAAAAAAAGCCCATAACGACCACACTTGCGCACTTTGCGACGAAGACGGCCAACGGGCGAGCCCATGTTGTGAGGGCGCTCCACGCGGGACGGCAGCGCGACGACTCCAAAACCCTAAACCCTAAATAGTTTCCATCTTATTTTCCATTATCCCAATATAACCCCAATATAATCCTAATGTTCTATCTACTTCATGGGGACTATACACACGGGAGCCTGTGGAACCGGCCGAGTGCCCCGCGCACACACACAAATCAAGGCTCGACACTCTTAACCCTTGAGCCCAATGCAGTGTTAGCACACTGCTTGGGGCATGGAACGCTTTTCGCATTCTCCGGGCTTTTGAACAACAAAACCCTCAACCCCAAAAACTTTTAGACCGTCAGACTTAGGTGTGGAGCCCCTCCGCAAGCGTCTCTGGCCTGGATCTGGCCAGTGGCACCTACTTCACAGTTGCCCGCATCCTGGCGATGTGTAGGATTCGCGGTTTCTGGATACATGGAGGTTTCCTTAAGATTCTGGGTTGGGGAGTCCCTAGAATTGATAAGGATTATGGCTTGTTGGGGCCTATAGTTGGGGCCCGTGTCTATGAACCCCCGCAGGTGAGAGCGGTTGGTGTCCTTATTGTAGTTCCTTATTGTAGTAGATTGCGGCTATGGTTGTCTTACAAGTCTTGCTGCTACTCCTAGTTACTGTTGCTACCACGGTGTCTTGGGATATCTAGCTGGTCTGCTTCTTGCTTGTTGTGACACTTTCTATGCATGATGTGTAGGTCATTGTGTGTGCCAAGTGTCTGTAGCACAATTTGTACAGTTTCTACAGTTTTACAAATCCAGACGACAATGCCTTCATTTCATGAAATTGTAAAACAACGACGGGTGCGAGCATCACGCAAACGCTCTGTCTCAAACCAGGTCCATTGCTAGTCTCCCTAAATCCTAAACCCTAAACCCTCAACCTTAAACCCTAGTCTTACTTCTAAGGCGCCCGGGATCAGCTGGGTGGCACAGCTGCTGCGGCTGTGTTGGGGCCCTGGGTGAAGCGCCCGGAGACGCTCTCCACAGCCGACCTAACCAACGCCCTTGCCCCTCGGCAGCTCCAGCAGTATTATTAATATTAATATTATTGATATTACTATTATTAATAGTATTAATATTGATAATATGAATATTTTAATATTCATATGAATATTTTTAATATTAGGGTTCAGGCTCAAACTGGGGGGCTTGTAGGAACTGGAAGCTACAATGCTGGGTTTACAGGATCCTTCCTTGAGAATTCCATAGCAAGCAAAACAAGATGCGTTTTGGGAGTTCAGCTTTCATGGTTATTGTAGAGGCCCGGAGAAGCAAGGGCTTGCAAGAAGCCAGATGTCAGTTGTTCACCATGGCTTCGTTCGACATTCGCCTAACGATGCGCGGCGCCATGCAAAGAAAGAACAGCTGAACTTGAACTATCATCTTCAGCCATCTGCGCCTATATTGAATGTGGTCCTTGCATGCTGAGCATCAGAACAACCTAGACCTCTACATGCTGCTCCTTTTTTAGGATACTTAACTTTATGTCCAGCATCTCGTATATACAAAATTATGTACCCCAGAATACGGGTGGGGTATCGAAGTTTAGGTAGGGACCTCAGTTTGGCCTGTCCGAGGCCGCTGTTCAGCAGTCGAGCGATCCGAACAAGATTCTCTCATCGCTCAACGCTGTTACAGAGATGTCAGGCCCATGACAGCAGTTCATGAGGGATGCTGGGTTTGATATACGGGGACTTCTCGAATGTGAGATTGGGAGGAGTCATAAAGTACGGACTGGAAAATAAGATGGAAACTACCACGCAGTTTGATATTAGGACACTGTTCTGCAGGAGGTTGGTCCACGGGGGTAGGAAACCTGGTAATCTCGCCTGTTGCCCTAGCCTCCCCATTGCTCCCATGGGAGATTTCCTGGTAACTACCTCCCTTGGACTCACCGCCCTTGAGGACATGGTACGTAAGGGATGCAGGACTAGCAGAAATTGAATCGCAGGCATCGAAGAATATCATGGTAGCATGCCTTATCTTCAGGAGCTTTCCCAATCTGGTAGAGGAGCTGCAGTAAAGCGGTTCCACATGCATACAATCCATTTGATGATTTCCCACTTGATGCCCATAACCCCTTCTAAGCAACCATAATGTTGGTAAAATCAACAGCCGTTGGAGGAGCCGCCACCGATTCAGATGCGGAGTCACAGAAGCAGGCAGGGGCCCAAGTTTGGTTACTAAAAGGCTTAGGGTTCGGGATTTAGAATCTACAGAACGAGATAGTCAGAATAGGGTTCAGGGCATACTCTACAGCAAGTATATCAGGACTATGACAGGGTGATGCTGATGCTCCTGATAAGGTAGGCTTCTCCATAATCGACCCAGAAACTAATTAGGTGGCGTTTTGGGACAACTTCAGATTTTGTTTGTTGAATAGGAGAGCCTATTCATGAATGATAACTGGTGGCTTTATGCCACCCAGATGATAATTCACGTCCCCCAATAGCTATGTTTGAAGTAGAATCAGGCAGATCCCAAGTGTTCAGCTTTAGAAGGTTAGGATTTCAGGCTAAGGGCTCGGCTTCAGATGTGGCGTTTAGGATATGCTTGGGAGCCATGGTTCGGCTCCTCCTCTGAAGGTTTTCAACATAAGGCCTGCAGTTCTCAGCATTTTGTAGGGGCCCAAAACAGGCCCTAACAAGGGCACCTACTTGTTTCCTGGGTCCTAAATAGGGGCTTCTGATTGGGCTTGTAGAGTTTGAAAGGGCGACCCCAGGATCAAGGGCCGTACTACGCGGCCATGTTTTCAACCCGCACATAGGTTTTCGCCTATACAAGGCAAGTTGCCATATACTCTTCCATTTGCATTTTAAGAATTTTAGCCGTTTCGGTCCGAAGCCCGAAATGCGAAAGTCACATCCCTGTACATCCCCTATAAGCCCTTGGGAAAAATATTTCTCCCTACCTATAAACCCCAGCTTATTCGCCCATACTTTCTCCAGGTCACTGACCTGGCCCTGACTGCGCTCGAAAGCGTGACTTCCATCGCCGTAGCCCTGGCAGGGCTCAATCCTAGGCATGAAGGAATGAAGAAGAACCTAGACCCTCCTCCTACCCTCTATTAGGGCCTAAGTACCCATTATTAGGGACCATATATCCCCAATTAAGGGTACAAGGAGGGTCCTGGAATGTTGGGAATTACCATATTATTTGGGTTTGTATATTGAGACTAGTAGAGCACCGGCTCCAAAAACAATCCTTCGCTTTCCTTTAATTTTGCATCTATAATACCTAGACCCTCCATCTACCCGTATACACTCAAAATAGGGATCATATACCTTTTTTAAATGGTGGTATATAGATATCTCAATACTCTACACAACGGATGTAACGGCAAACAGATTGCGGTACGTGCCAAGAACTTCGACAATGAAATGCCCAGGCTAAGGAGGGAACAATACCGCAGGAACAGAGGCAAAGGTTACCCAGGGATATTGGGGTAATGGAGCACAAAATGAAAAATGACATGCAACCTGGGATTCTGAGCCCGCACGATGCAAGCATTGCGAGGTTGAACGAAAGCATGTTTTCAGGACGAAAATTGCATCCTTTTCCATCCACATGTGCAGGAGTGTCCGTGTCCCGGGGTAGGTTGGGTGTGCAGGTGTGCTTGCTGGGTGCAAAAGCGCACCAACTAGGAAGCTGGAAGATTTTGCAAAAAGGCAACCTAATCATAGCAGGGGCCTCCTTCCACAAAACTGGGACAGCGGAAAGCTGGAAGATTGATTTCCGAGTCGAACCGCTCCGATCGGCACCTTCAAACTTTCAGACGTCCACCATATGTCTATGTCCAAACATTTTCGACTGAGTGCCTAATTAAAGTGAGGGAGTATATTATGCGGCAGACGTAGTACTTGAGCTGATGAGCCTTAGGTTGCCAAGGTGGTGAATAGCATCTGGGATACCTCACGAAGTCATGATGACGGGGACAAGGCCCAGCGCAAAGAAAAGGTCCCTCCATCTTCTCAAGCATCCCCGTATTTCTCACATGAGCCACAACATGCCGAGCCATAGCAACACCCCGAGAATGAGGGACTACAAGCATGAGTCACAACCAAAGTTGAAGGCACGCGATCTTGGGATTTTGGAGTCCTTGACTATGATACCGTTCATTAAAAGTTGCTTGCTCGATACAACATGCGTTTTTGGTCATCTTTGTGGGAACAGTAGTTTGGGCAAGCTTCCATGTTGTGCTTTGCATTTTAGGGTTGCGGGCTAGAATTTGAGTTCTGTTTACGGCTACAAAGTTACTCCAGTCAGGATAGGTGCCTCCTCAGAGTGGGAGGGAGCTCTTGCTTTCCTTGCAGTCACCATTATGCAGCAGAATTCAACCTCTCAGCTCTTGAATCCTTAGTCCACAGCCTGTTTTACGGTAGAAGCCTGAATTGCCAACGTCATCTTGTCACCTGTACGCATATATACACATACATATATACATATATGTATATGTGTATGTGTATATATATATATACATCTACACCTATCTATTTGCCTATCTATGTATCTCTGGGCTCTCTCTCCCGGCATACAGCTGTAGCGGAATAAGCCCCAAAACCCCATTCACAGCCAAAAGCCACCTGACGTACGCTCACGGAGCTGCCCTGTGTGCTCGGAGAGCAGCAGAGGTCGAGGCGACTGAGGAGAGCTTCCAACAGCTGGGAGAAAGTGTCAACAAGGCTTTACACATATATTGGGGTTACAGTGGGAGAATGGAAAAGAAAATGGAAACAATTACATAATATGTTGGAGTTAAAGCAGGCTTGACACGGGTTGGTTTAGGGCTCGGCTTAGGGTTTAGAGCATGGGGTTAAAGGGCTTGTTGCACTTCAGGGATGCGTGGGGATGTTGCATGTGCACATAAATATTTATGCACATATGAGATTTGCGGAGAACCGATGTTTCTTTTTCCCCGGTGACTTCCCGTGCGCATGAGCCCGAAGCTTAATGGTGATTGTTTCGTGCCGACAGTGATATCATATAACTATTGCACTCACTGCTGCGATTATGATTAACATTCTTAGGTGCTATTCTCACGGTTACTATTGCCATTATACTTTCTATCACCAAGTATCAATACCATGACGATTCTTATAATATCATTATTTGTTACTACTGTTACAGGCTAGAAAAGGCCCTGACGGCGAGAAACTCCTTTCCCACGCCGATAATCTCAAAGGAATCGCAGCATGAAGTTGCCATCCCCTTGCAACGCCAGAATGACGGTACAAACTATACAAACATTACAGAAGACGTGTCCAGACCTTCCAAATACCCAGAACAAGCGCCTATTTGCCCCGGATTTTGCAGTGAAGGGTTGTCATGATGCGTGTTTGGGAGGTCCAGGTATGTGTCCAATGCGTCGAACAGCAGTTCCAGCGGAGGGAGGTTGCCAGGTGACGTCATCCAGGGATCGTGCGTGCAGCTGATGAATGCTGAAGCGTAAGGCCTGAACCTCCAGTATCCTGGAATGCGTAAGCAACATGCACTGCAAAACACCCATGTAGGTGGTGGCATCCAGTGGTAGCGCAGCCGATGAGTCGTCACTGACGCGCGCGGCTGATGTTCTCGGAAGTTGCCAGCTTCCCAGAGGATTTTCTTCCTTCCTGGTTCAGGGTTAAGGATGTAGGATCTGCGGCATTCCTTGTGTGAGTTTTTCAACTAGGTAAAATGATTACGGGGTCCCTGGTTCGTATTGTAGAGGGGTCATGTTCAGAAATGTCCCCATGCTGTGAGATTGAGAGCCATTTCCGCAGCAAGGCTTGGTATAAAGGCATACAAGGTTCATATGAGCTATAGTCTAAACTCCTTAAAGGGGGTTATATAGGGGTTTATATAGGGGACTGCCATAGGGGATATTAAGGGGGATACTAGGAGTGTAGACTATGGCTCATATAGAAGTGCTGAGAAGTTGTGTGACAGGTAATTAGTACCATCACGTGTAGTTGTCCAATAACCCAGCGGCGGAGGATAATGTCTTGGCCACGCGTGCGCAGTGCAACATGTGGGGTTTTAATTGGGACATGCTGAGAGAAAAAAACGATAACGAAAAGGATGACGTCCAAAACTAAAAAAACGATAAGAAGACAATTCTGGTCAAGCGACAATGAATATAGGGGCTTATACAACTCAACAGGTTCTTACCTCCCCGAACTAAGTTTCGCGGAGCTCCAATGAAATTGATCTGAGGACTCAGCGGAGCACTCTAGCCCACAGGGTCCATTTATAGGTACTGGTTTGTTTGCTGATAGGGCCCAAAGGGGTTCCCATTACCTACTTCAGGGGCTAAGTACACACTATACAGCCACATGGACCCTTTGCGTAGGTGACCCGTAAGAGTCGGAGGGCTGTCGAGCTCACAACGAAGCCGCTTAAAACATCAACTGCGAACTGCTCTGTAGACAGAGGGCGTGATCCAAAATTTGGGGTGCACTTTGGGAGTCCCTAAAATGAGGAATCTAGAGTACTGTGGTCTACAGGAGGGCCCCCCATTCATGGAGACTTCAATCTCATCACATGTCAACAGTGGTCATGGCTACCTGAAAGTTTAGCAGTAGTTCAGCCTCAACGACTGCAGGCATGGGGAGTCTTGTGCTGTTAGTAGGATAAGAAGGCCCAAGCAAGTGCACCAAAAGCCCTGCTATAGTACAAATAGGTACCATAAGACCCACCCAAAGCGGCAAAGCCCAAATCCTGCTTTAATCCATCCTCCCCAAAGGCCTGGACTTGGCATTGCAACTGGGATGCCACATTATTTGGCTGCATGTGCTATGCTGCAGGTATGTGGGAATGTCTCCCAAAGATTAGGTGCGGGGGGGGGGGGGCGTTTTGCGCTAGATGACTGCTTGTGGGTCGCACAAGATGTATGATGTCCACGTCGAGGTTCTACTTAGTAGGTTCGAGTTGTTCGTCAAATCTTGTAGGCGAGGCGCCGCTGAGGTTCTGGCAGCGCATGGCAAAGGATAGCACCCTTCAAATCCTCATGCATTACTTATGTATATATGTGATTCATCGAGAGTTAACTGTACTTGTAGACCATATTGCCTACATAATGAAAACTAGTAGCTTCCATTTTCTTTTCCATTATCCCTATATGACCCCTATATAACCCTATATGTCACCTTTATAAGGAATGCCAGTGACACTGGCGTGTCCACGTCCGCGGGCACCTCCATCCTTGCTAGCATCGTCACGATCGGGAAGAGCTCCGGCGACGGGCTGGCAGATGATGGGGCAACCCGTCCCATTGGTGATTTCCCAAAATGACGAAACTCAAATGGGAACTGGGATTATGTAGTGGTTTACAGGGTTCAGTGTTTCAACAAAAGTTTGGTCCCTTTTTTTGGGGGTGCTTGTAATAAACAGGATCAATCAGGATGATATATGAGTGTATGCAAGGGTCACCGTATTCACTGAAAGTCCAGTTGGCAATATCTAAGTTGAGGTGTGCCTACGATGGGTGGAAGAAATCTAGCATTCACTTCGAGTACGTAAACTATTCATACTTCTGGGCATCGGTATTGTTGTAAGATTTGCTCCAAGAGAAGGCGGAAAGTGCAAGGGGCGCACGGTGTTGTAGATTCTTCTACTACTATCAACATGGGAGTTTCTGAAGAGACTCTCTGTAGAATCTTTGAGCAGGGCCCCCTATCACTCACAAAGATTCCCTAAACCCCAAACCCTAAACCGTATAAACCCTTAACCCTAAACTCTAATACCCAAAACCCTATAAACCCCCAACCCTAAACTCTAAACCCCAAACCCTCAAACCTAAACCCTCAACCCATTGTAGCTGTAACTTTTTGACCATCCCCCTGAGCCTCGCTCGGAACCTATAGTTCCCCCTTAAGTAGATAGGATATTAGGTTTAGGGTTTAGGGTTCAGTGGAAAAGAAAATTTAGGGTTTAGGGTTTAGGGGTGTTAGTCCCCCATAAGTAGATAGAATATTAGGGTTATATTGGGGTTATGTAGGGGTAATGGAAAAGAAAATGGAAACTACTATTTAGGGCTTAGGGTTTAGGGGTGTTAGTCCCCCCTAAGTAGATAGAACATGGCTTTGGGTATGTTACGGTATGTTATAATAAGATCGCCATAAACCCCATATTCTATCTACTTGAGGGGGACTATATCCCAACCCCCAAACCTTGGTTGGACTCCAAACCCTGAATCCGGGCCTTACCCTAAGGGTCCAAGTACCTAAATAGTATGGGTTTCGGGTGTAGGGTTACATAATGAGGGCCCAAAGTACCTATATAGGAACCCCCGTTTTGGCCCAAATGATTAGTATTGAGTGCGTGGACCCTGAGGGTTGTGCCCGTCAGTTCAAAACAGCTTGACCATGGCTTCTTCAAGGAGCTCAGGGTGCCCCCCAAGGGTCTAAGTACTCAACTACTGGGGCTTTAGCTACCTTAAAGCCATGTGAGCTCAAGTCTAGACTTTCTGAAGGGGGTTATATAGGGGATAATATACAGGAGTATGATGGGGGTGTGTAAGGGGGTACTCGGAGTTTAGACTATGGCTCGTATTATTTGGGTACTTGGACCCTCAGGGTAAAAGGCGGAAGCTTTGGCCCGGCGGGTTTGTGGAGCCGTTGTGCTGCTTTGTCCCCCTCTGGGCCTTGGTCCGCGCAGTTCTGCCTTGTATCTTCGCTGGAGAGCTATCTACTCCACCTGTAACTCTGAGTCCACTGCTTTATGAGAAGTTCTCCTATTGGGAGGATAGGGTCCCAATGTATTTAGGAGTCAGTTCTGTCTGCATAACCTGACATGAGAAGAGCATACTTCGATAGGTCCTTATAAGGTGTTCGCCATGAAGGGCAGGCCCCCGTGCTGTGAGAACGCCCAAGACGCGAACCCTTCGCACCTACCCTTCACGCCAACGCCTAGCCCGAGCAAAGCTTCGATTGAACCGGTACAATCTCAATGCCAAATATCTCGCGCTACGTGACATGATTTTCACCACCTGAGCCAACCGAACCCCCGACTCCTGCCCAAAATAGACTCGGTTCCGTAAGAACCCGTACGCTAATCCCAAAATTCCTTGGAAAACCCAATAAGGCCTTTTAAAAGCAGTGTTTCTACTATCGGTTCCCTCAGCCTGGAGCCCAATTAGAATATCAAAAACCTCGGCTGCATACCGGATACCTTCTTGTGGGGAGTGGGTGACTGGGCCGTAGATTAGCGTTTACTCATCCTGCTGTAGGAACAGGAGCCAAAAAAGGCACTGCACCCCAAGAACACTCTACTTGGGGGGCAAGGGAGGCTTCACAACTATAACCCTTATAAGTTTCAAAGCAATCTCAGTTCTCCCCAACATTACCGTACTTGCTAAGTCCCTCCGACCCTAGAAGTAGCCCGCGCCAGTTCCCCCAAAAAATCCTAAACCCTAAACCCCAAATCCTAAGCCCTAAATCCTAAACCCCAAACCCTAAACCCAAACTCTTAAATCCTAAACCCCAAATCCTAAACCAACCCTAAACCCCAAAACCCTAAATCCCAAACCCCAAACCCTAAATTCCAAACCCTAAACCCTTAATCTAATCCCTAAAAACTCTACAGGCCAACTGTTGGCCCTCCCCCAGGCAGACTCAGCGCTGGCGGCCCGCCG